ACATTTGTTCTCTGTCTGATTCCGCGATCAGTTTAATGCGCTTGAACAATCTTCGGTCAACGAGGAAAGCCAATTGTCGGGTTATCGAACTAAATCACAAAATGAGAGTAATGTACCAAATTTATTCGAAAGATTTCCATCCCGTTTGTTGGAAATATTGGAGTGTTGTTAGCTGNNNTGCATTCTTGTCATCTCCAGTTTCTACGGACATAAATGCTGTGCCATCCTCATAGGTATTTTTTTACTTATATTTGTGATACTCCTTGTATATTTTTAAATATGCAGATGACGCTGTGCTGTGCCAGCCATTTCTTCATATTCCGACCTAAGCTCCTTCGTCGATAATCTTGATTAAATCCAGTCATTTTCCTCCTTATCAGGACTAACCTTAACTCCAGTAAATGTGTTAAGTGTTTATAGAGTTTTGCTCGCTCTCCATATAAGACACCTCACAGTGATAAATAACAATCCTTTATTTAGGATGAACTCTGTCAAATATCTTGGTGTAACTATAGATAACAATCTTCATTGGTCAGCCAACTTCCACAACTGCACTGTTGAATTGCCTTGCTTATCATTTCAAATTCGAATGAATAGTCAGATCCGCGCATTCCAGTCAGTTATTTCTACCCTTGTTTATCAGTGTGTTTTCCCCATCTTACTATACTGTTCCACAAAAAATAACATTTTTTGTGGCTTACTCAAACGGGATATCAAAGTCTTACTCCGCGGTCTAGCTATTATAAACAGCTTCTCTTCTATCCCTGTGAATGAGTTAGCTGTAGAGATTTCACAGTATTCTATAACTTCCCGTGTGCGATTTGCCGAGAGGACTCTCCCAGATCTTGATCACCCATTACAAGCGGACCTGACAAGTTGTCGTTCCCATTCCTCCATACATTCTCAATTTCACCAAGTTTCACCCCAAATAAATGCTGACCGAAATTCGCCTATACCGTGTCTCGCACGTTCACCCACAGACAAAGAGAGAGTAAAAACTGAACTTTATCTTAACCTTGGATTATGAAATGTCCCTATGTATGTAAACATTTTCTCCTCGTTGAATATGTACGGTTCTCGTGTATGACTTTTTAGCTGAAATGAAAGGGAAACAATTGTTTTTCAGTAATTCCTTCTCAAGCCTTTTACAGATTACATGGGTAACATTAGAAAACAGATCACACAGTTAGACACATCAACAATCATGAGTAAGAGTTTATCATAGTCAACTGGCATTTGTCATTTGATTGGTTTAACTAAGTTACGGCATCAGGATAACCGGACGGCGGACACACTCGGCACCGATCGACCACGGGCCATGGAAGTTGGAGTGGCTGAACCAAACGCTTTTGGGCGCAGAGGCAGGGGTCAACTTTTTATCCCGATCGCTTCGGCTATTGCTAGAGTGCGCAGTTGAACACCCTTGCACTTGGTGTGGGGGACACGATAAACAACTCTGAAGGTGACATCCGGATTTACTTGATGTCCGGTGTCGACTAAATGGGCTAGGATGGAGTTGTTTATTGTTCCGGTCTATGCTAGTCTTAACCAGCGTGGGTGATGCTCTTTGATCCGGGTAGATAGCTGTCGTACCGTTCGACCAACATAAGATGCGCCACATACGCATCTGACAGAGTATACAACCATTGATGAGGTCAGCATCGACAGTTTATCCTTGTTTTGAATGTGGATCATTGGGGCGCCGCGAAACAGGCACCGTAACTTAGCAGCGTTAAGGGCGTTGCCAATCTCCCTGTTCAGTCGTCGTTACCTATGTAATCTGTAAACTGCTTGGGAAGGAATTACTGAAAAACGATTGTTTCGCCAAACTGTGTTTGTTCTAAATGCTGTGATGGGAATCTTTCAGACAGTGAAATGAAAGCCTAGGTGCTTGTGAAGGTTATACACAACACAGTACAATACAATACAATGATTTTCTTTCAAATCATCCCTAGTACGCCCTAAAACGTGCCGATATGGTAGCGCTTTTAGTCAGCTCGTTTTGCAACCATGTACTGGTCAATGATTTCTCCCAGAGTAGCATCTTTTACCCCCAGTGTGGGATTATTTCAAACCCAATCAAATATTTCGAGTGTATTTTAGTCTCTCGCGCCGTCTGTTCCCAATCCATAATGCAACAAGCGAGATGAATGGAGTCCAGAAAATTATCCGGAGCTATGATGGGCAGCAATTTCAAATGGTCTTTACAGGCTCTCAAGTTGTTTTGGGAAATTTAGGCCTTCCGCCTTCTAGATTAGCAAAGTCAGACTCCACAAAGAAGTATTTGTCAATCACGATGTTTTCGCAACTTTAATTCATTACTAGGCTAATGAGTTTTCCGGTTAAAAAATAATTTGAAAATTTCGGGTCTGGGCCTATCAATTATCGGCCACGATGTTTGTTATCAACTGAAGACTAAATTATGTGTGCCTCATGAGACAATATTAATCTTCCTGTTTAAAAGAAACGCTCACATGCTTCCCCTTCTGCAAATGAGAATTTGTTCCTCTTTCTTTCTTATCAATGCACACATTCATAATTTCGACACATCCCTCCGCATGCTTCGGTAGAAGAATTCTTCCGTTCCATTTGTCTTGTACGCACCTAACCCCGACTGACTGAAGAACAGAGTTGCAAGTGAATACTGCCAGAGTCTTGTGTGTAGTTTATATATATAGTCCTTTGCTCCCCGTGATTTTTCTACTTTCTAATCAAAGGCGGTCTCCCGGTCAGGGTACCAATACAGTGCAGTATGAAACTAAATATTTTAAGGGACAAATAAGCAAAAGAAGACCATTCAGTTCTATGTGTTAACCGTTTACTCATTTAAGATCCAAGCTTTGTTTTCCTCCAGGCCGTTTTGTGTATTTGCACCGAAAAGACAAGATGCGCGACTTCATGTTGGACAGGATCATCGAGAGTTTAGTAATTCAGTCGGTGCATTGTCGCAAGCAAATAGCGTGCAATGATGGGCGTCTGATGGTGCATTTTGACATACTTCACATTGGTTGATATAGAGATTGAAGCGTAGTTTGTGCGAGCAAAAGAAGTCATTCGCTGGCTTGGTAAAACCAAGAGAGTTTTAAACTTATTACCGGTATTGAGAGGTACCACTCACATTTGTGAGTAGTTTGCGTGAACTGCGAAGTAGGTATATTATTCCCATGGTATCCGTGAGTGGAATAAAAGATTTACTTTTGGAGATGCAGGGGAGACGAACAGACTATATGGTTGGCGATCAACTTTGAAGACACCATCACGAAAATACTAACCAGTAGTTGCAAATCACGTGTTTCGTTCTGTGTCACCTTATTTAAACCTATCCGATGCTGTCCCACAAAAACCTCTCCTTGTCCCGGCCCTGTTTTGCGGGATGCATGGCACCGGTAATTTTATCAGGTTATTGAAATCATTTGTACTTTATAATCTACCGTATGGTCCTGATGAAATATGGTGAAATATATCCGAATGCAAATTGTGCAGCATAAACCTACTCTATTCTCCATTCAAATTCGTTAGGAAAGGAATTTATTTGAAAATACCCCGGACTCTGCTGTTGTAGTATTCGATGAGAATTCAGTTAATTGTTCCCGTCTACCTGAGCTTGACAATAGTGCGTTTGTTTGAACAGATTTGTGACCTTTATCCGACGTGGATGGCCAATAGCGAACATTAATGTCACACAGTGGTTCCATAGCAAGCTGAGGGTCATGATTGTGAACATACCGAGAAATTCCTCTGTTTTGTACACGTGTATGTATGTTAGCCATAGTGTGCCCCCCAAAGATTGTGCATGCTATTAAACTTCCCTAGTCCATCGACACATCCCAGTGAATCTCGCTGATTGGAACAATGAACAAGCAACCATGCATGTGGTTCATGCGAATCTCACGTCCAGTCTTAACATAGAACTACGCACAGCAACATTCGACATCATTATGACGGTCAGATGTACAGTATTAAATCGCCAAACCTTCCCATTTGTTAACCAGGATTCGTAAAATCAACCTGCACAGGAAAATTACTTTTGAATGTTCGCTAACCTCAGAATAGTTCAGTGCTTATGGATGTAACTCACTAACGGTGGCACAGCTGAATTTTGTGCACCGGGTCTAAAGGAATACGGTAGTGGATAACTAATTTAGGGGTTTTGGCTCTAGGATTGTGAGTCGAAGTTGAGAATTTTGCGGGAAAAGTGTAGCAGTGCCTTGAAATGTAAATTTCCCTTTTCACCAGGGCCATTTTCTGCTTGACTTGATGATTAGATGCTGAAAATGGGCTTTATCGCTGTTCTGTATTGTTATCATTCGCCGGTTTCTGAACATTCCTTGTGTAACTATAAAACTGTACACAGTTAAATCGAATGACCTGGTATTTGTGAGCTCCAAAGCAACAGCATTGAACATGAGATGTGCAAGCTATGCCGATTTAGCTAACTGTCTCCAGTTTCTGGTAAATCAGCTTTCAGTTAGTCTTCCTTTTCCACCAGAGTATACATTTGAAGTGTAACAGAAGACAGTTAGACAAATTAAGACCTGGTAAAATCGGCGGTTACAAGAGCTGTCAAACGGGGTGGGGTGGGGAAATCATGTTCAATGATTTGCGCGTTTCTGAGGCAGGTAACAGTTGGGAATGGCGGTGGTGGTAAAAGTGAGGGATAAGGAAGGCAGAGCAGAAGGACCTTTTAGGATGGGGGGGGGGTTAAAGAGGTGGGTGGGTACGGCAGACGGATTCAGGAGAGAGACGGGTTGTCCAATAATGTAAATTTTGAAAGCAATGTAGCAAGTCTATGGAAATTTTGTGAGGATGGAAAGAAAGGGATGAGGCGAATCCTTGGAGGGAAATGATAGTTAATCCGTATGGTGGATTGATGCTTTATGCTCGCGTGTAATTTGAAGGCCTAGAGAATTTTCAACAACAACGGAACAGAGCGGAACAGAACATGATCAAAAACCAGTGGACTATTGCTTCTAGCCATTGGTTTAGGTACTCGAACCAATTTAAATCCGTTCCAATTCATTAATTTCCGAAATGGTCGCTTCTGAAATCGAATGGGAGGATAACGCCTCCGACATGTCGTGCATTTCTTGTTCCACTTTGTACAATTCACGCAAATGGGCCCCACTTAATGGTCTTTCTGTTCGTGCAGTGAAAGGCTCTTCGTTAGGCACATAATTTTTCCACGAACCAATACTCTGTCTGACAGTACGATCCCGTGGTGATGAGATTGTCCGAAATTCTGTGTTCGCACGTTCTTGACGAGTGGTTTCCAGTAGATAGTATCGAGCCACAGCCTCAGCGACCTCACGTCCTTCGGTTTCATTCTCGTGTGGTGTCACAGCGGCCACGGCTTCCAACTTTTTCCGAACCGAGGGAGGCATGAGCAAACTGCTCAGTCCACGCAAACGACTTTCATCTGCCGATTCCGGTTCGGGTCTGGACTGGAGTGAATGTGTGGACTCCGTCTCTTCCGGGTGCACACCACGACTTTCTCGATGCGAGCGCTCTGAATCGCGCATACTTTCCTGACGTCGTTTAGTATCCCCGGACTTTTGAATCTGTTGACGTTTGTAGTTGATAATCGATAAATCTGTTTTGAAAATAATTTATAAAAAAGAAAAACGATATATGGGAGGATTGGAAGAAGCAAATGAAACTTGTATCGCTTGCATACGCTTGTACAGTTTTTTTTACAACAAGCGCCAAAATTCACCCGAAGATATAGCATTTATGCAGGAAATAACAGCGGGCTGTGAGCTAAGAGTATTACACGAAGTTCGACAAAATGAAATGGTTGGTCAAGGTGTTAAAACCAGTCCACAGGTCAATGGTCAAACATACAGTCAAAGGCAGTTTTGAATTGGTGGACATTTCGAACAAGATCAATGTGTAAGGAAAGCACATGGCTTCCTTCGATATCTAATCCCTGTTTATTAATATACTATTTCGTGAGGTTATAAAAATCATCTGCGATCATGTAGAGAAGAAATAGATTAGACTGAGTCAACCAGTGCCCGTCCTTGATTGTCTGTTAGTGCTCTGTAAAACCGGTGTCTATCTCTTTTTTATGAAAAGAGTACAGGCAAATCGATGGTGTCTCTATGGACATCTCACTAGGCCTATTCCTGGAAGACTTGTTTATGTTGCACCTAGAACAAAAAAGAGCGAATATTCTGGAGCGTATTATACCGTACAAAAGATACATCGACGACGTCCTGGTTATAACAGAAAGTTAAAAGAAGCTACGATAATTATGGATGAACTCAATAGACTACATCCAAATAATCAGTTCACAATGGAATATTAATCCAAAACCACGCTACATTTCCTTGATATTAGCACAACCAGAAGAGAAGATGGGACAATTGCTTTATCTCTTTATTGAAAGAAAACCTGGACAGGCCAAAATTTACAATTCGAGAGCTTTATGCCTCTGGAGTACAAACGTGGTTTTGTTTGGGCACTATTTGACAGAACGAGGTGAATCGACACGGAAGATAAAATTGAACAAGAACTGCAAAACCTTCGGAAATTGTTAGAAAAAGTTTACCTCGAGACGTTCGTCAATAAGCATAGCAAACCGAGAATTGTGAAAGAACTGATTGCTTCAGTTCCGAAATTGCGGATCAAATTGTGCTTTCAATTCAAAGGTTATGACGTAAGCCGTCTACTCAACAAACGACTGAGATCAGCAGTCGCCCAAACCTACTATGCAACCGGCTCCAAAATCGTCTACCGAACAACTAGGATACCAACACCTCCAACAAAAGAACGTTTGCCTCTGTACGCCAATTCTAATCTAATTTACCACTTCCAATGTGGGTGCGGAGCGATTTACGTGGGCAGAACATCGCGACAATTACGCAATCGGATAGTGGAACGTATTTCAAATTGGGTCCAAAATCAAACGACCCAACCGAGATCAAGTCCGCTGCATAGAAACGACGGTCAAAACTACAGCGATTGATCGACATCTGCTGATGACGGAACATCAGATCGACCGAAGTACAGCGTTTCGGACTGTCTACAAGTCACAAGTTGTAAGATTGCGAAGTTTTGTTGAAGTGATTGCTATCAATCGTTGGCAACTCCTCCTTGTCTGTCCTTAGCTTACTGACATGATCCCTTTACCCTTCCCCCAGTTTGTTTTATATATTTTAATGTATTTTGCTGTACTTTATTGCCATGCTAAAACACTACATAAGCATTGTATGCTGAGATGCAGTGCAGTCGTCTTAGACATTAATCATGCAGTATTGCAATATGGTCTTTTCTTTTGAAAGGAAGACGTCGTTGCGGATCAGTGTATGGACTTGTGCGTCTTTCAAGTCACAATATGCGACGCTCAACAGGCAACACCGTAAAATTTATTCCACTGAACTGCAGGAAATACACCCTGGGGACCGATCCTATCAAAATGATTCTATTTTAAACTTTTACTTTCTTTCTAATTCCGCTTACATAGTGATAAAATCAATTTTTAGGAAGGAACAAGCGATTAATCAAAGGATCTCTCATACAATACATACAATACAACAAAAGTGTTAGGATTGTAGTCTTGGAATGATTTTTTGCACCGAATCACTCCACGAGACAGTAGTTATGTGAGACTTATTGTTATACAGTTCTCTTCAGAACAAGTGATTTACAGTTCTTTATCATGGGCAAGTATGTGCGAATGCATAATTGGGTTAGTTGTAAGCTTGCTTTTGCAGTTCCGACAAGGAACGTCCGCCTCGATCCATTCAGAACATAAAAAACTGACTTTGTTTACTGGTGTTATAATTCCAAAAGACGGTGCTGGTCGAGGATAAACCTTTGCTGCCAATAACGGTCAGGATATGGTTTAATTACCATTCATATAACAAAATATCTCATTCGGAACAAGTTTGCAGAATTCCGGCCAAAGACTAGGATCTGTAATGGAGTGGTCCACTGTCAGATGCGCATTCTTATGGTCACCGTACCAAACAGCAACCGTTTGCTCCAACAGGTCTTGTTCATTTTTGGTCGTTGAAGGAAACTGCTGATCGCATTATTTTGCGTACTACTCAGAAGTGAGTAGTATCTCACTACACCGGGACTACACTTGACGGAAGGCGTGTGTGGATTACACGAAAAAAAAAATTATGCGTTATCCAGTAAATCATAAAGAATGGGAGTTTCAAGCACGATGGTAAAGTTGAGTAAAACAAGATTTTATTCAACTTCTTCTCCTCAGTCTCCATATAACGCTTATTTATTGCCGACAGTCTGAGCTGTCAAATGGTCTGATCACGTGTTCACGCAATAGATAGTGCAATACAAGTAATCAATTGTTTTGAGCCGGTTATTTTGCTATGATAAGGATGTTTCGGGTTTAACCTTGCAGTGCACATCAGAAGTTTAGAGATAGGCAATATTTTCCATCTTACTCCGTTTATAAAACAATTGTAAAGTTCCTTTTTATGGTACCAAAAAGTCTCAAAGAATTCCACAATAGGAAATGTATGAAAATTTATCCGTTCTCTTAATAAGTAAGTCAAAATAGGATATGCGAATATAATGGGGAAATTCTAGTCATAACTGGAACAATTTGTTTCCGCTGTTTACAGATTGTTTTATCTAGGTCATTTTGATGATTTAACAAGGTCAGTCAGAAGACTACAAGCGATTGATCCGTACACTCTGGGTATCAGATTGAAGTTTACATATCTAGTAACCCAGCATGAGAAAACTCACTGTCATTTTGTAATGATGTTTTACACTATATTGAGACTGCTACTGACCAGAAAATTGAATAAAAGAACAATCTTGTATGAAGATTGTTGGGTGTACCATTCCACGGATGGCTATGTTAACCACAACTTTTCCCATCAAGCTTTAGCCAAAATACGCAATGCTTCAGCCGCGACCCATAATCATTTAGATTCGACGCACCATCTTTCGTTACGCCGCACTAGGCGAGTCAGATCAAAAGGTATTGGAATATTCTAAAGTCAACGGATGTTGAAAGAGAAATTATTTTCTACAAATGTTGATGTTGCAAAGCTTGGTTAAGAAATAAGAAAGTGTGTGGGTGGCATGCTACAACACATGTTACTTGGAGAAGGTTTAACCGATGTGCTCGTATCGCCAAACCATTTGACACATCTCGTACGGCTTCAGTGTTCTTTGTATAATATGCGATACTCCTGTGAGTAAAACTCTCAAATGTAACTCAAACGGTGCATTGTTTTGCATTCACAAACCCTGAAATAAATCAAAAGGCATATGATTACCGTTTCGTATAATCATTTAAAACGAACGCTGTTATTGAGATATGGATACAATAAGAGGTCGAGGATAATAAACACTATTCACAAAGGAACCCCTTTAGGGTACCGTTTTCCAAGAAGCTATAGATAAAACCCGTAGTAATCAAGCCTCGACCGTTGCAGAGTAGATAAACTGATGATAGTTGTGAGCAGAGTTCACTTGTGAATGCTAAAGCTTGATGGGGAATGGTGTAGTAAAAGAGAGAAATAAGTTCATCAAAATTTTTTCTTTTATGGGTGTTCTAGTTGGTCACTTGATCTAATCTCGTATGTTTATGAACTGCTCAACTGTGAACCTAATGGTATTT